GCAGCGCCTGATGGCCAGTGCCTTCAAGCTGTTATAATAAGAATCTATGAAAACATGGCTATGACTCAACCTCTCTAATATATATATATATATATATATATATATATGTATACACACACACACTGTTAAATGCACACACATACATACAGAATGTGGGGAAAAAATGAACATAAAGTAAAAAACATGAGTGAATTAATTATGTGTATAAGTAAGCACTGAGGAGAGTTACAGCTGGTGTTCCTCACTCACTGCTCCGCTCTCCCACCGTCTCCTGCTAAATGGTAACTCAGTATATTGTCTTATATTTATTGCTATGATTATTTTTTATTTATTCCTCACACTTACTATGATTGTGAAGTGTTTTTGTGACTGTGTAGTGAGCAGTGTAGCTTTGAAAATGTCAAACAAGTTGTCACTGAAGACTCCTGCGTCTTGGAAGGCCGAGGCATACAGGTAAACCATATACATACCTGGAGGCTTGACACTGTGAAGCAGCCAGGCTTGTTGTTGATGGTGTGGTCAGTGTTGTTTAGTGGCCAGGCTTGTTGTTGATGGTGGCCTGGTGTTGTTTAGTGGCCAGGCTTGTTGTTGATGGTGTGGTCAGTGTTGTTTAGCGGCCAGGCTTGTTGATGGTGTGGCTGTGCGTTGTTAGAAGTGGTCAGGCTTGTTGTTGATGGTGTGGTCATGTTGCTTAGTGGCTGGTGCTTGTTGTTAATGGTGTGGTCAGTGTTGTTTAAAGGGTCAGGCTTGTTGCTGATGGTGTGGTCAGTGTTGCTTAGCGCTGGTGTGCTTGTTGTTGATGGTGTGGTCGTGTTGTTTAGTGGCCAGGCTTGCTGTTAATGGTGTGGTCAAAGGTTTAGTGGCTGCTGTGGGGCTTGTTGTTGATGTGTGGCCAGTGTTGTTTAAAGGTCAGGCTTTGTTGTTAATGGCAGTGGTCAGTGTTGTTTAGCGGCCAGTTTGTTGTTGATGGTGTGGTCAGTGTTGTTTAGTGCGTCAGGCTTGTTGTTAATGGTGTGGCTGGGTGTTGTTTAGTGGCCAGGCTTGTTGTTGATGGTGTGGTCATGTTGTTTAGTGTGGCTGTGGGCTTGTTGTTAATGGTGTGGTCAGTGTTGTTTAGTGGTCAGGCTTGTTGTTACGGTGTGGTCAGTGTTGTTTAGCAACAGGCTTTGTTGTTGATGGTGTGGTCAGTGTTGTTTAGTGGTCGTGCTTGTTGTTGATGGTGTGGTCAGTGTTGTTAGCGGTCAGGCTTGTTGTTGATGGTGTGGTCAGTGTTGTTTAGTGGTCAGGCTTGTTGTTAATGGTGGTCAGTGTTGTTGAAAGGGCCAGGCTTGTTGTTACGGTGTGGTCAGTGTTGTTTAAAGGCCAGGCTTGTTGTTAATGGTGTGGTCAGTGTTGTTTAGTGTGCCAGGCTTGTTGTTACGGTGTGGTCAGTGGTGTTTAGTCATGGTGTTTAGGGTCAGGCTTGTTTTACTGGTTAGTGGTGTTAGGCAGGCTTGTTGTTGATGGTGTGGCCAGTGTTGTTTAGTGGCCAGGCTTGTTGTTAATGGTGTGGTCAGTGTTGTTTAGCGGTCAGGCTTGTTGTTAATGGTGTGGTCAGTGGTGTTTAAGGTGGCGGCTTGTTGTTAATGGTGTGGTCAGTGTTGTTTAGCGGCCAGGCTTGTTGTTAATGGTGTGGTCAGTGTTGTTTAGTGGGCCAGGCTTGTTGTTAATGGTGGGTCAGTGTTGTTTAGTGGTCAGGCTTGTTGTTAATGGTGTGGTCAGTGTTGTTTAGTGGCCGGGCTTGTTGTTAATGGTGTGGCGGTTGTTTAGGGCCAGGCTTGTTGTTATGGTGTGGTCAGTGTTGTTTAGCGGCCAGGCTTGTTGTTAATGATGTGGTCAGTGTTGTTTGAGTGGTCAGGCTTGTTGTTAATGGTGTGGTCAGTGGTGTTAGCGGTCAGGCTTGTTGTTAATGGTGTGGTCAGTGTTGTTTAGCGCGCGGCTTGTTGTTAATGGTGTGGTCAGTGTTGTTTATAACAGGCTTGTTGTTAATGATGTGGTCAGTGTTGTTTAGCGGCCAGGCTTGTTGTTAATAATGGTGGCGAATGATGTTGTTTAGTGGTCAGGCTTGTTGTTAATGGTGTGGTCAGTGTTGTTTTAGTGGCCAGAGCATTGTTAATAATTGTGGTGGTGTTGTTTAGTGGTCAGGCTTGTTGTTAATGATGTGGTCAGTGTTGTTTAGTGGTCAGGCTTGTTGTTAATGGTATTGGTCAGTGTTGTTTAGTGGCCAGGCTTGTTGTTAATGGTGTGGTCAGTGTTGTTTAAGCGGCCAGGCTTGTTGTTAATGGTGTGGTCAGTGTTGTTTTAGCGGCCAGGCTTGTTGTTAATGGTGTAGTCAGTGTTGTTTAGCGCTTGAGCTTGTTGTTAATGGTGTGGTCAGTGTTTTAGCGGCCAGGCTTGTTGTTAATGGTGTGGTCAGTGTTTAGCGGCCAGGCTTGTTGTTAATGGTGTGGTCAGTGTTGTTTAGCGGCCAGGCTTGTTGTTAATGGTGTGGTCAGTGTTGTTTAGCAGCCGGAAAGCGACATTAATAGTGTGGTCAGTGTTGTTTAGCGGCCAAGCTTTGAAACATTAATGGTGTGGTCAGTGTTGTTTAGCGGCCAGGCTTATTTGTTAATGGTGTGGTCCAGTGTTGTTTTAGCAGCCAGGCTTGTTGTTGATGGTGTGACCAGTGTTGTTTTAGTGGCCAGGCTTGTTGATAATAATTGTGTCCAGTGTTGTTTAGTGGCCCGGGCTTGTTGTTAATGGTGTGGTCAGTGTTGTTTAGTGGCCAGGCTTGTTAATGGTGTGGTCAGTGTTGTTGTTTAGTAGCCGGGCTTGTTGGTAATGGTGTGGTCAGTGTTGTTTAGTTGGCCAGGCATGTTGTTAATATAGATGTGGTCAGTGTTGTTAGTGGCGGGTTTGTTGTTAATGGTGTAGTCAGTGGCCAGGCTTGTTGTTGATGATGTGGTCAGTATCGTGTGTGTGTGTGTGTGTGTGTGTGTGTGTGTGTGTGTGTGTGTGTGTGTGTGTGTGTGTGTGTGTGTGCGTGCGTGCATGTGCGTGTGTGTGTGTGTGCGTGTGTGTGCGTGTGTGTGCGTGTGTGTACGTGTGTGTGTGTGTGTACGTGTGTGTGTGTGTGTGTGTTGGACTGGCTGGCTGGTAGCGGACCCCGATTCAACCCCATGTTATAATGGTCTCAACTTACGATATTTTGATTTGCGATGGTTCTTCAGGAACGTAACCCCATCATAAGTTGGAGGACATCTGTACCTTAAATAAGTTTTATATTAAATTAAATTACCTTGGTTTCCCCTCATGGCAGCGAAGTGGAGAGGAGTGTGCCCTTGTTGTGTTCTTGCATTCACGTTGGCCCGAGCATTAATTAGTAGCCTGGCCAGGTGTGGGTATCCCTGGGTACAGGTGATGTGCAAAGGGGTGAGTCCCAGAGAGTCACCTTGGTTAATACTGACGCCCATACTGACCAAAAGTTGAACTGAAAAAAAAATAAAATATAGCTTACATTATTTTTACAGGTATTAGCCCACCCAGGCACAGGTCACTGACACACATCAGGGCCTGGGGGGTGAAAATGTAATAATAATAATAATAATAATACTCTCGTTCGTTATAGGATTAATCCATTGCAGGCCCCCAAATACAACCACTTAACAATGGAAAATATAATATAAAATTGTAAAAATTGTAAAAAAGTGCATAAATGTGCATTTAAACTCCTGAAATAAAGAATATCATTAATACTTGTAATAAAAAATAATAAATTAGTACAAAAAATAATAAAAAATACTGTTCGTTGTAGGAGTTTCGTTCGTTATAGCATTCTCAATATTATAAGTAAAACCGTTCGTTATAGGAATATTCGTAGTAGAATCCGTTCGTTATAGCATACCCCATTGTGTGTGTGTATATATATATATATATATATATATATATATATATATATATATATATATATATATATATATATATATATATATATATATATATATATATATATATATATATATATATATATATATATATACTGATAACCACAAGGAAAGAAGAAAACACGAAGTTCCCAAGCGCTTTCGTGTAATTCACATCTTCAGGGGTGAGTACAGACTAAAGAGAGAAATACAAACCAAGGTGTATATATACAGAGGAGGGTGAGACCAGGTCCACAATGGTCAGGTATTAGGTAATGACCCTACTAATCTTTAAATAGCACACAACGGTTGGTGGTCAGGTCAGATGGTCAGGTGACCCGGCCTTCTCACCTGGTTACAAATCTTCTCAATTACAAAATTGTCCAGCTTGTACATGCCGTTACTCAAATTCATGTTGAATGCTTCGGTATGTTTAATAAGACTAGATTCTATGATGTTCCTACTATCAATTGAATTACATGGTAATATTGAGGAGGCATTATCCCAGTCAATGCAATGCTTGTTATCCCTCAAATGAACAGAGCATTGGATTTCTGGCCTGTCCTAACACTGTATTTGTGTTGTTTAATTCTAGTTGCAAGATCTTTACCTGTCTGGCCTAAGTAAAACATTCATTATTATTCTGCCCACCATAATAAAGTCAAACAGTCAGTATTTTCAACAATGTTTTTACGTGCCTTGAGAATTTGCAGTCCGGAATTCATTGATGAGGAATACAAATATATATATAATATTGGCTCAAACCTTAAATACCCTAGATCTTTCATAGACAAATGCCTAAACATTACTAAGAAAACTTTTTATAGAACTGATCCCAAGCCCACCCATGACCATAAGAATATCTTAATATTACCATTTCACAAAAATTTCTCACACATTCCTTCACAACTAAAAACCTGGAACGTCAATGTGGCATTTAAAAACTCATGCACTGTAAAACAAATGTTAATCAAGAACTCCCCCAACAACACAATTGGTTTCAGTGTAAAGTGTCGTAATAATAAATGGTAAACAATTTGACTTCGGCACTCGTGTTTCAGTTTATAGGACGTAGAGCGTTTTTACTGAAGGTTTTGTTGTTCCCTTACCCTCAAAAACGTGGGTCGAACTATAAACGAGGAATATCATAAATTAACGATTTCTTGGTCAAAAAATCAGGGTCGACCAATAAACGAGGGGGGGTTATAGATGAGTATGCAGTGACCCCTCGGTTAACGAACTCAATCCGTTCCAGAAGGTCGTTCGTTAACCGAAACCATTGTTTCAAAGGGTTTTTGGGTAATTGGTTCCAGCTCACCGAAAATTGCCTAAATTCAACAAAAATGGTAGAAAAGTTCACTTACTTTGAGGTGTGTATGTAGAAGGCTCCTGGATGATGATGATGATGATGATGGGAATTAGAATGGGGGGTGGAGGAGAAGGAAGAAGAGAAGGCATTGGGGTGGAAGAGAAGTCACCCCATGGCACCATTTCATCCATAAAATTTTAGTTCTCTTGGTGTATTTCAAGATTATTTTCTTTAAATCAACACTGCACTGCATTATATATTGTCAATATGTAAAATATATTTCAAAATGACCAATAATTTGCTTGGAAACACAGAAAAAAAGCGTTTAGTTGAAGAGAGTCTCAAGCAAGATGTTACCTCCAGTTAAAACAGAGACTAACGCCTGTCCGGTGTGTTAACAAGCTGGATGGCGCGCCAGAAACTAGTTTCTTTACCTTCAATTATGTTCAATAATTGTTAAAATGACTAAAAAAGTTAATATTAAACTTTAAAAATTGTTGAAAAGTATAAACTTCTTGATATTTACTAAAATAGTAAGGAATTTAAGCCCTAGAACAGATTAATGTATTGGCGGACTGATACTAAAGCTGGTTGCCCGGCCAGTGCAAGCGAAAACATGTTGAGGTTGGTTCGCAAGAAATTCGTTAACCAAATTTTTGTTCGTTAACCGAATTGAAGATCCTTATGGAAGGCAGTTCGTTAACCGAAATTTCGTTAACCGAGGCGTTTGTAAAAAGAGGGGTCACTGTATTTAGAAAAAGTTAAATGAGTTGTGTTCATGACTGTGATTGGCTATCCAAAGATCGATCAGTGAGTGTAGTATTGTGCCTTTAGTTAAGACAGTCCATAGTGACAACAGTGACTGCAGTGGAGACTGGAATTAAATTGAAGTAAAAAAAAAAAAAAAATCAAAATTGGGACAAGTAACCGGACACCAGTGCCTGGTAGTAGCCAAGACATCAGTGGTACCTGGAGGGGGGGTTTCCTGGTTGCCCAGAAACCCCCCCTCCAGGTACTGCATGGTGCGGCCAACCCATACCTAACCTGGCGACACCTTAGTAACACGAAGGTTGGGTCAACTTACCTGACCTCACCCCACGCCACAGTAACATCCACCACCTCTGCCATTCCCATGCATCTGAATGCACTTAATATACAGCACTGCCAGACAGTGTGAAATAATGAGATTTTATGTTTTTTTTCTCATCTACATTGTACATTTTCTATAGATTTTACATATTTATAAATTATTTTTCCATCCACTTTCACATATTTGATGATTTCGCAAGTGTTCTTTAAATAACTGTATCGTACGATAATACGGCTTGGATATCGAGCATGCTGGGTCAGGGAACATGTTCCCACTTCTCTCGTCTTCACTTCACATGTAGTTTTTGGTGTAGTTACATCTACTTTGGATGCCACAACTATCAATCGTTTTTTCTCGAAAAGGTAAATCTATATACAAAGATTACGATGCTAAATTACACATCGGAAATATGTAACGCTGAATTGCCACAAGGGCACGATCACTTAGACTTCAATTCGTAGATGTGATTGTAAAGGAAGCCATCCCACTGAGGGATAAATTTCCCAATAGCTCCAACCATAGCAGCTTATACTGGAACAGCTAGCCTGCGGGGCTTTTAAAGGAACCTTGACACAAAAAGCCCTGCTAACAGGAAACAGAATAGAAGCAATTATCATAGTAACAATAAAGATCAACATCATCAAAGTGGAGCCCTCCTACCAAGGCAAAGATTAGGAGCAACTATCATAGTAATAACAGAGATCAATATTATTATTGTGAGTAGTAAGATGATGATTAGAAGATCCATATAGTCTGCCCCCACATCAGCAATCAATCATGACGGGCGGGAAATCGGTGACCGAAGCGGCACCAGGAAGTCTGTTGACATGCAATTACTGCAGGGCAACGAAAGATATAGATGGTACGGGCGGCACAGAGGTTAGGACGTTACAGAGTGCGGCAAAGCAGGAAGGATGTTACTGGTATTGCCCTGACTGCAGTCAAGGTGGATGAGGCAAGTCATAAGGAAACAAGTGTCCTAGGGACGAAAATAGCTGAAGTTGGAGCCCTGTTGGTTGACAAACTAGAGCAAGTTGGGGAAAGAGATCATTGCTAAGACTGAGGAAGTAGTCGATAGAATGGTGGGGGCAGTGAAGAGGAGTTATGCTCAGGTTTTAGCAGGGCCACAGGAGGTGACGGAGAGTAATGCAGGATCCAATAAACTTCTACAGCAGCTAGGGACTCTGCAGAAGTATGTCGAAGAGATGACAACTAGCAGACCTACTGTTAAGGGAGAGGAGGAACAACGGGAACGTTTCGAGACAGGAACTACATAATAGTTTTTGGTGTCCCTGAGAGCCAGTCGGAGGGAAGTGAGACTAGGATAACTCACGATAAGATGCAGTTTGAGAATATTTGTACAGAGGTTCTGAGTATGTCATCCATCCCCCTCAGGATGTGAGGCAGCTGGGACATAAGAAGGAGGACAAGCCCTGCCCCCCCCAAGGCCACACTAGTGAGTGAGGAGAAATGGGAGGTTATTCAGCAGGCAAAAAACTTAGCAAAGGAGCGAGATATTTCAGGATGTATTCATTCACCCAGATCGCTCGGTATTACAGAGGGAACAGCACAGGAAGCTCCTGCAGGGCTTGAGGCAGAGGAGAGAGGAGTCGAGGTTGAGAGGGGACGGGTGTACACGGGTTATATCCAGGGGGAGGATAGTGGCAGCGAATGCACCAGCGCTGAGCAGGAGGGCAACGGCAATGGTACAACCCCCACCTGCTATACCTCCCACCCAGGGGGAGGCACCAGCTCTACCTCCCACCCACGAGGAGGCGAGCACTGTGTAAACAATGACATTTCTAACCACACCCTGCAAAATACAGTGTACATAGCAAATGCTGCAGTTTCTGAGAATGGACTGGGGCCGGAGTTACTACTGAGAGCAGAGACGTTACCAAGAACAAATTCTGGCTTGAATGTCATGTACACTAATACTGACACGTTCCCTGATAAGAGTAGGAGTTTGAAACACTACTGAAGGTACATCAACCCGATATAGTAAGAGTTGTAGAACTGTTGTACAAGAATAGGAGAATCGACCCAGAGGAATGTGAATTCAGTATTGCTGGATATGACTCATTTGAGAGCCTTTCTCAAGTAACTTGCAAGAGGGGTGTGGTTATCTATGCTAGGCAAGACCTTAGAGCCAGCCAGGCGAGGGTACA